CATTTTCACGATAACTTTTATTTAGTACTTCTAACATATAAGATCTATTTTTCCCCATCAAGGTATGATGTAAATGACATGCTATTTACATCTTGTGAGTTTCAATGACGCGCGTTTGATTTTATAAAAAATGCCAAACTTTGTGACAAAGAATTTCATCAGCTATTGCCCCGAACCGGTCCGTCTTCTCGCTGCAAGCAGGGTGAAATTATCATATATTTCAAATTAGTTTTAGTTCAACTTACATGTATGTATATAACTTTCTAAAGAAGCACCTCTGTAACAGAAACGCTGTTAAAAATAAATAAATAAATACCGTCGCCATATTCAATTTAATTTTCCATTCAAAAAGATATTTGATATTTTAACAATAAATTAACTATGTCTGCAATAATGATGCACATATGACAACCATCGACATTAAGCAACCGTGGCACACTGGAACACCCTGACAACGGTAACAGATAACGTTATCACAAATATGTTTCATAATTTATGGAGAAATAGTTGATTACCTAAAACTCCAGTTAACTTCCGTAAAGTCTATTGTGTATCGATGAAATTTTCTTTTATTTTAGGTCAATATCACATCTGTTTATGATCTATTATGTCGAATCATATTTACCTACCCTGTCCATGGCTGACGTCAGCTTACCTAAAGTTTCTTCATAAACTGGCACACAATTGAGATTTCAATTTGTGTGCAGGCTCATGAACAACCTAGACTTATTTAAGTATCCTAAAAAACACAGATGATGTGAAACACATCCCGCTAGATGAATATACTAACAAGAATGAGCTTGTTCGATGAATTTACATAAAAGCGCATTCGTTTTCAAAAAATCCAAAATTTCACGACTTTGGCTAGCCTTTGAATTTCCTATCTTGATTCCCCATTTCAGTATGATTCACAGATACGTGTTTTCATTGGATATTTTTTCACCCTGGCCCTCGTACTCGGGTCAAAACGATTTTAGATCGCGCCAATCAGATGAATGCTATTGCACATGGGCACATTATCTTGATCTATAACTGTCTATGTCTATTGAAAACCTTTGAATAGAACATCCAGCTTATTGAAATGGATAGACATAATTAATGCAATAGAATATTTCTACTATCTATTCATTATGACACTGAAGTCACAACTTGTAACTTCACTTATATGTAAACCAATACCAAGCACAGTCGTGTTGTACTTGACATTTTGAATGGCTTGCCGGTATCCTCTAATCCCCGGGCCTGGTTGCATTGGCCAAATTCTAGCAAGTTCGAGGTATTTTCAAATAAATAACATTTAAAGTGACATTCCACATGCCCCGGCTACCCCCCCCCCCCCACACTCTCAAATATGAATTTTCAGTTGAAATAAAAGTAAAAATAACCTTTTAGTTCACTACTGGTAATATCTTTGTCTTTGGGAAATCCCCCTTCCTCTCCCTGTTTCTAGATGTAATTTTACATGTAGATTTCAAATATGATATCATTTTGACTGAATTTTGAATTTTTAACGTGGCAAATCAAGATTATTTCGACTTGCATTTAATCTATTGTAGTGAGTGTGGTACAAAACGGTGCATATGTAAACTGAACAAAATTTATTGTTACATGCATGTTGTAATGCCTTGGTCACATTTGCTCCGATTTTCACTACGGCGCCCGGCCGATAGAGTATTTTGTTCAAAGTTGAATACAATATTGAGCAAAACACTCTATCGGCCGGGAGCCGGTCGATGATGGATCGGTGCAAATGTGACCCAGGCAAGGGAAGTGGTAATTGTAATAACCATCCAAACAAGCTTTTAGAAAGTGTGTTGTCATGTAAAAACTAATTATTCTGATGTCACTTTGACACATGTATGTTTTTTATAAGAACCATCACTTTATTTATGATTTATCTATTCATTTATTTAGATATACACTTTTTTAACAGTGGTACTCTTACATTAAGGCGTAGTGCCATGTTGGTAAAAACAGCACATTTTATCAAACTGTGGTTTAAAGAGAATAAAAACATAGGCATGTTAATATTTACTTAAAATCGTATTTAGAAAGCTTTTTACTAGAGTCGAATAAACTCCATATTCGTGCCCCCCCCCCCCCCCTCCCAAAAATGTATAGCCTCATCTCCCAGTAACCATTTCAATTATGTGTCAGTTGGGGCACTAAAGAATATCAGTGTTAAATGTATGGGAATTTTATCCTCGCAAAAATTACAGAATGGGCTATTTTCTTGTACATTTGCCCATTTATGTTTCACCTTTAAGACCTAGTTTCCCGGTCCGAGCAAGAAATTTTAATCGTCGTCTTGCAAAATCAAAATCATTTCTTAAATAATACTGTAAACCTTTATGGTTAAGCTCAATAAGCTGTCTAAAAGTGTCAAGGAAAATTTTCCATTCATTTCAGTTTGTATCAACACTTCAACACAACCAGGAAGTATTTTTTCGTATTTGTATCAATTGGTCAGAAAGATGAGAAGAAATACATATATTTATCGTATGATCTGTAAAATGAAGCCTTCTGATTGGTCAGTTCTTGTGCTATACTTTAAGTTATTCAATGATTCGAGTAAAATACAAAAAATATTCTTCCCGAGAAGGTCGTATTTCACGATGCGCTAGCAGAGTGAAATACAGACCTTCAAGGGAAGAATATTTTCTGTATTTTACGAGAAATCATTGAATAACGTTTTTATTCCATGATTACTCAGATAAAACTCCCCTAAATCAAGTCCATTTCCTTGGCTTGGGACCGGAGAAACAGATCAACCTTTTCACCTCAAAGATACTTTACATCGAAATTCCTTCAAAGTCTTTTCGGCCTTGTTGTTTGCTTTTATTGTATTATAAGTTTGATTTCATTTATTTTTTCTTTAATTTCATCAGCTGGAAGTGCAGTGTAGCGAAACGTTTTTTCGACTTTCGTCTGCCATATTGGATTTTTACTAGTTCATGAAAACAATGTTCATGCTTCATATTGATTTTTTGTTATATTTTGTTATATTTACCGATGCGTGTTTTATCCTAAAATTATAAAGTGTGATGATCACCGTATCATTTCCTGATATTCAAATCAGATATTTGTAGCAAAATGCAAATATTAGCATGCGTTGATTTTTTCAGTAATAGTCATATCCTTGATGGAAATCTGGGGCGTTGGGATACTGGACCGTATCCCAACGCTTACGTAATTTTCACTCTGTATCCAACGCTCAGTGGAATTTGCGTGTAAATACAGGATATATTTAAGTCACGTGGACCAATCAGATTGCAGGGAATTTTACCATCATGGAATAACAATCTGTATTGCTATTGAGATTGTCCCCATTGATCATCTCCGTCGCAATACAGAGAATATTTGTATGGAGGGGACATTCTCAGTAGCAATACAGAGGACGATAAAAACGTTATAGAATGATTTGAAGTGCAATACAGGATATATTCTGATCTCGATAATCTGTATTGTCACTCGACTCCGTCTCGTTCAAATACGGAATTTCTCAAGCAGAATATACCCTGTATTGCACTTCAAATCATTCAATAACTTATATTGTTAAAGTGTACAAATTGTGTGCACAATACAAACAAAAAATATATACATACTAATGTATGATGTCTTGGGTATGTGGTCTGTACTTGATCGGTGGGGGTTAGTGATTAAAATGACAGGAACTAGTTGCTTATTCAATATTGGGGAGTTGTCGGCAAAATCCCAAAACTGATTAGATGTATGCTAACTGTTAAACAGCGTTTTTTAAGTATTTTTTCAATATTGATCTCAAAAACAAAATGTACCACGACTGAGGCCAATTGAAAAATGGTAAATATGTGATACCGAAAGAAAAAACACGTGTTCAGTAGATATACATGTAGTTATGACAACAAGCACATTGAATATGGATCTGCTAATATAAGATGACTGTTTTTATTTGACTTTTAAAGTTATCCTTGTTGAGCTAACTACCTGAAACTTATTTTTCAAATTGCATACATTAAATGGTAGAATGTTACAGATCGTCACAATACTCGGGAATATACCTTTAATTAAGTGCATCTTTGGTTCGTGTTGTTTCGTTTGTTCATAAAAAGCACCCTCCCCGGGGCACCCTCCATGTTAAACTGCACGGGATCGGGAGACGTGTTTATTAAATTTTTAATGCGATTAAGAAACCTATGGTATGCTGCATCTTTATGGGATTCTTTACCAAAAAAGATTATAGCATCAGGAGTAGACATGAAAATGTGTTATTGTCTCTGGCTTAGAAGTGAGTTGTGATACCTGCGCACGCACAAATCTATTTGAACCCTATATAGGTGTTATCTGTTGTGTAATGACATTTCAGGACGATACGCTCCTTTTGGCACAACTATTTTTATTTACATACATCAATGAAATGGCAATATCTCCTAATCTATTCAGTATTTTTACGCCAAATTTTGACAAGTTGTTAACATGTGATAATGCTTATTAAAAATTGTATTTCAGTGATAAAATTTGAAGTATAGGTCCCGGAGTATACGTCAATTCCAGTTTTTTACGTAAAACCGCTTTTACTTATCCGTCACCAGGCCAATATTTTCCTCTTATATTCACGTCGTGAAAGGGTTTTAATTCAACTTTGCACAATATGAACGGTGTCTGTAGTGTGTTTTACCCTCTAATTTGCACCTAGTGTCAATAAAGCATACTAAGTCAGTCATATCTAGAAAAGAGAGCACGGTTTTATTTTAAGTTATTAAAGCTCTTAAGAACAACTTATAAATAGTTGATAACTTGGAGGACATCTACATTAACATCAAGGTAGAATCTTTCTCTCATCTTCCTTCTTTAGAGCAAATCAATATACAAATGGAGTTTTAACAAACTATGGCCAGTCATTCAGGCATCCTCAAAACTCAACTCAAAACGGTAGGGTTATTTTCACTTTGCATCTAGAATGAGTCTTATTTCACTTCTAATTTAAAGTTATTTTTTAGACAACTGGCACTGGTCATACAACGTTATCTAATGTCCATTTCACCAATGCCACAAAAACACTGCTTTATGTGCTAGTTTTTCCTATTTTTGTGTCCATGGCGAGACATGGTGAACTGCGTGACGTAAAAGAGAAGACACATAAAAATGGCACCTGACAGGTCCATCCATATAATACCCATAGCTCCGTGAGAAGTCAACAGATAGCCCCCGAGGTAAGTGAATACGACGCCTCCGATCCCTGCTCCTATATCCCAAAGCATGATAGCAGCGCCGGTAATTTCGATATACTTCTCTGACCAGGCCATGCCACCTGCCCATAATGCCGTGATGAACACGCGGAATGTGCAACTCAGGATCCAGAATCCGGTGACATCTTTTAAGAGGAGAAAAACTGCTATGATGCTCACTACTAAAATACCATGAAGCTCTGTAAAGATTAACAAAGGCATCGGAATAAATTTTGCTAATATGATAATTAAAAAGTTGGCCCCTATGCCTGTTCCGATTGAAGCGCTGTTCACCAGAGCAGCTTCCTGCTCAGTCATGTTGAGGCTTTCTGTCGCTACAGCTGTATGGAAATTCACAAAAATAGCACCTAATGCGTCACAATAGAAGTAATACCATGTCAGAAAAACCATCATTAACACACCAAAGCTCATGTTACCGCCAGCACAAGAGGCAGGCGACAAAAATTTCTTCATTTCCTGACTTTTAGCTGTGTTAGTGTATTTAATCCCATCAGGACGGGGCGCTAAATAGAAGCAAAGATATGCCAGCGATGCGAGTATTCCAAAAGCAGTGGTTATCAAATATGGGTAGATAATCTCAGATTCTGTCAAGATAGATCCGGTGCCATTTGTAGGCATTGTATATGTTGAGTTAATTGTGCCAAGATTCGCCGTGGAGTTTATCAACATGGGGACCTCGATACGTCCAGACAGGAAGGGGTAGGCGAGCAAGGGGGCAACAAACGTCCCGACTCTCCAACCAAAGTGCATCGAATGCATTGGTGAAGGGGTATGTTTTCCCCATAAGGCGATCATCATTGCATTCCCAACTGAAAATAAATAAAACATACATGTTATATCACAAAATATGTTCGCACACCAAGGGAGGTAGGGCAGGCAATCAATAGGGTAACAATGCTCTGGCAGTCCAACCAAAGAGTTAGTTTTTGGATCCGCCAATAACGTTCATTTTCTTGGTTCACATAATAATGCATCTGCATACAACTATAATTGTTATTAAATATTTAAACAAATTATGATAACTTGATACTACAGAACATATTCAAAACATCTGCAAAGGTTATTAGACATTGTAATATGAACATTACAGGGTATAAAGGGCACTACATATATGTATGTATGTTCTCTATATGAGCCAGGCAACAGAAAAAGGGGTCTTATCACAGATTTTTTCAATATTCTGATTTTTTGTTTATCTTAAAAAGCACAAAGAGACCTTTCAAATGAGCCATAGCTTGTGTCTTAACAGTTTTTCGTTGCATATATAGACCAGAAAGTCGGATTTGAATTTAGCACATTTTCCTCTTTATATTGGGCACATTTTTGGCTCTGTAGCACAATTCTAATTTTTGTGATAAGACTGGTGAAATGTGAAATGCCACGAGTACTACTTTAGCACTCGGCATATCTCCCTGTGACCGTTCATTGATGTGTTGGAGAATAAAGATATTTTACTGAGGTGCAATCGTTTAATTTTGGGTTATGATCATTTGTGATAACGGCATATTTGTGCAAAGTTTCCAAAACCTCAGGTGGAGCGTTGCAAAATTTCCCAGGGAGTGTAAATATTTGGAACAAAGATATTTTCTTCAATTTGTAATTAGAATTCAGAGGGAATGAAATCTGAAACAATTTTTGAAAAATTGGCAAATTTGGACCCTATTTTAAAGGTTTGGCTAATGATTAGCGGGTATTAGCCGGTAGTCAATAATATGCATGTATATCCACAATGCATGACTGAAATGTTTGTTTTGCAAGAATGTTTCTTTTTTTTAAATCGATGTAACATTTACAGGTTGTAGTGGCTATGACCCCCAAGAGGGAGTATTAAGTGCCACTTAGGACAGACAATAATTGCCGTTGAATTTAGAAAAAACAGTGAATTTAAGCCCCTACCTAGTCCATAAAGGCCATGTGACACACCCTCGACCCAGTAGGACAGACCAAGTAGAACCAACCCATTGCACCATGGTTTAATGCCAACAGCTAGCGCCTCAATAAAGAAACCCACAGCAAGCTGCAAGTCCCAAGTGCTCTGGAATTTGTCATATGTGATGCCAGCAATGAGGGATCCCATTGCCCAGCCTACTTCACGTCCTATCAGAGCTCTGGAGAGCTCTTCGTAGTTCACTCCGAGGCGAGAACGAAGATCGGGCATTGTGGGCCAACGTATCCCTTGTAGCATCCCCTGTTAAAAATTATACAAACATGTTAAATGTGTTATCACGCATAACATGCATAAAAAGCTCATTTATTACCTGCAATTTGGGACCTGTCACCTGTGTCTAAATCCTTTAGTATCTCATGCCCGTAGCTAGCTTTTGGTAAGGGAGGGGCTCTAGAACTCTCTCAGTCCAACACACATAAACTTTTTACCTCGTCCTTCGTAATGCCAAATGTATTATTAACAAATTAACAAGGGGCGGCCCCGAAGTTCAAGAAGGAGAGGGCTCAAAATATTTGCGCTTGCGCAGAAAATTTCGTTGCGTGGACATTTTTTGACCCAAATTTCGAAAAAGAATGCCCAAATTTAAAAAACAATGCCCAGTTGTGCACGTTTCTTATACAAATTGCACAGTTTATGTGGTGTTTGGGCCAAAAAAGTTTGTGACCTAATTTTTTCGGGGCCCACCTTGTAAGATTTTGAACTTTGAACTTACAGTACACCATCCATAAAAACTCTCAATTTTAATACAGCAAATGAATCATGTATTTGTCTGTCCAATAGCTTATTTAGACTGGTCTAGTAAATTTGGATTGTTTATAAAAAAAATTGGCACTATAACATCAAAATGTACTGTACATATGTCACCAAATGTAACCTACCGCGAAACAGAAAGAAAATCCTTCAAGATAGCAAAAAGGTATGTCCACATTTCTTGGGATATATCAGGGGCATGAGGAGTAAGTCATCCCTCCCTCTTATATTCTATAGCCTATATTAATATAGAGAATATTAGAGACTTACTAACTCCTTGTGATCAACGGGGGGGGGGGGGGGGCTCGAAAAGAGTCGATCGCCGAAGGTCAGTTGGTCACCGTATAGTTCTAAATTATCAAAAATACTGCTATTACTACTATTCAGTTTGTTTAAGTCAGATAATGGTCATTAATCACAAAATAAACTTACATTTACGATCCAGGTCAAAACGATAACTACCGTCTTTGCTATTCTGTAGTACTGTCGTTTATTACACAATGCTGTATTCTTTTTTGCACTTTCTCCATCCTCATCTTCTTCTCCCTCTTTGATTTTCGTGTTGTAGAAATCAACCTTCTCAGAAATTTTAGTATAGCTACTTGAATCCATCTTACTCATGTTATTCGTATGCATTTTGAATTTAAGATCTTTACCTGCTGGCTAAAAAAGAATGAAATGGTTCTCAAGTTTCAACTACTAGAGGATCAATTCAGACCCTGACTATAAAGGACAGTGTCATGAAAAAAGTTTTCTATTTTTTGATTTGAATATAATCACGGTGGTTTATAAAATCAAAGCCACAGTAACGGAATGTGACCCCTCCTCCACCTCTACTTGACTAAAAACATCACACGGTTGTAGTGGGAAGGGTATCACAAGGACTTCGACCTAGACCACCAGATATTTTTCACGTTAAAAAGTGTATATTCTGTAGCGAAGTGCTTACTCTTTTCCTTGGGTCATGTGTTAAGTGGAACTTGATATAAAGACCATTTGTCCAGATTTAGAAACAGTAGCGACATTTTGATTTTCACTTTTAAAGCTATTCATGTGATCGCTTCGTGTGTACATTTGAACCAAAGGATGCTACTTTTAACATGCACAGTGTCTAGATTCGTCCGTTTTCTCAATAGACAGCCAAGTAAAGATCCACTGACTGGGATGTTGATATTATAAATCGCCGTGAAACGTATTGATGTTCAAGTTGAGTCATGGTCCTCGCCAAAATTAATTGAGTCAGTGAACGGTTGATTGCAAAACGATATGTAATATGCTCTTCATGTGTTGCAAAATAAACCATTTATGGAATTGGGTTATATATTTTCAATGCGTTACTAACAAATTTTAGATGTATTTTTCCTATATAAAACACATAATATCGCTGTAACGGTGTAAACTTTTGTAAGGACGATTACGGGGACAATGAAAAGGTGTTATCATGCAAAATTTATTTAGATTTCATTGTTACATTTTGAAAGAGTTTTCATACAAATCATACACTATTGATTGAGTTATGAGCATAGCAGGGTTTATTATCCTAAATATTTGGTAAAATATCGCTCATTCACCTATAGTCTGACCTTTGACCCTATACCATATGGAGTTCAAAACAAACGCCAGGTTGCTTAGTCAAGCAGGATTGACTCCCAGAATCGAAGACGATATTTTCCAACAATGAAAAAGCTGAAATGTCGTTATTTTCTGAAATTTAAATCCACGATTAAATGTTGAAGTGAACAAAATGGCGGCTGTTCGTCGGAATTCAAATTTTGTAGCACGAGGACATCCCCATATATATGAGACTGAATACTCTGGGAGCCAATCCACCTTGCTGCTCAGTGAAAATTTTACAAGTAATACAGATTTTGCATCTTGTTCTTCCTTATGTTATCCAATAGAGAAACATTTTTGCCATTTTTTGGTAAGTACAAACGATTGAGATTTAGATTTTTACCAGAAAGTTGTTTAATTGTACCTCGTATTAAGGTAAGTATGCATGTTCGGAATTTTGCTGCATTCCTCAATTGAGTCACTCTTTCTCCAAATTGTCTACATCTTTCAGTTTTGCACAAAGAGTGCACGTATGTGTCGTGAAAAGACTGCTAAGAAGATTTTTTGTAAAATATATAAAGCAACGAAAAAATGTGTGAGAAAATTCAGTGACTGAATTCAGTGACTGAATTTTCTTGTTTTTATACATTGTACAAAACAAATCTTCTCACCAGTCTTTTCTAGGTTCACATTAGTTCACTCTTTGTGCAAAACTGAAAGATGTGTGAAGAAAAAATGTGGGGAAGAAATGATTCCTATTTGAAAAATAACACGTGACTTAATTGAGGAATGCAGCAAAATCCTGAACATGCAGACTTACCTTAACAACGTAACATATTCACAGTGGTGAAACTTCAAACTGACCGACTTTCCTTTCTCTGTGAATTCACGAGATGTAAGCAGAATTTTCATTATTTTTGGCCACAAACGTGTGTCGGCATCATAGAAAATCCAAGCGTTTGCAAACGAATAGTTCACGAGACGCCAGAGTCATCAATGCTCAGTTTGTTACATAAACAGAACGTTAAAAACAGTTAACATTTGTACTTTTCACTTCACATACTGTATCTGAATATATAACATGAGCCAACTGCTCTCTGCTGCTACTAATCTAGTGTAATCGGTATTATCACTAGCACCCTTTAAACAGAAAACTAAAACATAAACAAACAGATAATTAATGTAATTCCGAATCCGGGCATGCCCCCTCCCCCTTGGTCTTGGTCACAAAGATTAAATGTATCTAGAGTATTAGTTAAATAATTTGCTATAATGTATTAACACAGGCACTCTCCTGCAGGAACCGCTGTTATCCGTACATTTCTAAACGTACGAATTAACCTTTCAGAAGAAAATATTTGATTTGCTTTAATATTGAACCAAGAGAAAAATAACTCACATAGAAAAGGCATTTGAAGTTCAGAGATTAGACATGCATGCACATGTTAAACAAAGTGCATGTTTTAGAATACCGTTGATTTAAAAAATGGCGACAGTTCTATAAAAATGAATGTATCATGTAATACAAACAACTTTGCCATCTTTCAATGACATTGATAAAAATTGATATATAAAGCTTGACAGATCGAAAATATTTTTTAATAATTTATTGTAAGCTTTGATGTGGTCCGTTTGAGCTGTTGTTGGTGTCAAATGAAAGATAAGGTTCTTATCAATCAATACATTGGACATACTATGAAATTCAAATGTAAGTCTTTATTTTGCCCAAAAACGTTGAAAATACGCAAAGTGAGACTTAAAGTGAGCTATGCTAGCAAGAGAATAACGTACAAGAATCTTCGGCCACAAACAATAGTGTCATGGTGATCATTTGGCATATTACAGATTCCCTTATTATCTTATACACAATCAGGGCCAGTAAGGGCCGTTAAGAAGGGGACCAGCATGATCCCTGAGGGACCATAATTTCTTTTACACCGGATCAATCTTTTCTATACTTGTGTCCATGGTGGGACGTGACTACTTGTGTTACGTATAGGAGGGCGCACATCGTCACTGCGCCACCATTATCCTAAATATTTGGTAAAATATCGCTCATTCGCCTATAGGCTGACCTTTGACCCTATACTATGTATAGAGTTCAAAACAAACGCCAGGATGCTCAGTCCAGGAGGATTAACTGCCAGAATCGAAGACGATATTTTCCAACAATGAAAAAGCTGAAATGTCGTTATTTTCTGAAATTTAAATCCACGATTAAATGTTGAAGTGAACAAAATGGCGGCTGTTCGTTGGAATTCAAATTTTGTAGCACGAGGACATCCCCATATATATGAGACTGAATACTCTGGGAGCCAATCCACCTTGCTGCTCAGTGAAAATTTTACAAGTAATACAGATTTTGCATCTTGTTCTTCCTTATGTTATCAAATAGAGAAACATTTTTGCCATTTTTTGGTAAGTACAAACGATTGAGATTTAGATTTTTTACCAGAAAGTTGTTTAATTGTACCTCGTATTAAGGTAAGTATGCATGTTCGGAATTTTGCTGCATTCCTCAATTGAGTCACTCTTTCTCCAAATTGTCTACATCTTTCAGTTTTGCACAAAGAGTGCACGTATGTGTCTTTGCCATCTTTCAATGAAATTGATAAAAATTGATATATAAAGCTTGACAGATCGAAAATATTTTTTAATAATTTATTGTAAGCTTTGATGTGGTCCGTTTGAGCTGTTGTTGGTGTCAAATGAAAGATAAGGTTCTTATCAATCAATACATTGGACATACTATGAAATTCAAATGTAAGTCTTTATTTTGCCCAAAAACGTTGAAAATACGCAAAGTGAGACTTAAAGTGAGCTATGCTAGCAAGAGAATAACGTACAAGAATCTTCGGCCACAAACAATAGTGTCATGGTGATCATTTGGCATATTACAGATTCCCTTATTATCTTATACACAATCAGGGCCAGTTAGGGCCGTTAAGAAGGGGACCAGCATGATCCCTGAGGGACCATAATTTCTTTTACACCGGTGTAAAAGGGTATGAGGTCCTATCAAATTATGGTCCTACTCTCCATTGATTTATATGGTGACCTAAATACAACTCTTTCCCTCATTATCTTATACACAATCAGGGCCAGTAAGGGCCGTTAAGAAAGGGGACCATAATCCCTGGGGGACCATCATTTCTTTCACACCGGATCAATCTTTTCTATACTTGTGTCCATGGTGGGACATGACTACTTGTGTTACGTATAGGAGGGCGCACATCGTCACTGCGCCACCAAAGTCAAGCCACAGTATTGCACTAGCCCCGTGATTGGTCAAGAGATAACCACCAAGGTAATTAAACAAAACACCTCCAACCCCTGCCCCTATGTCCCAAAGCATGATAGCCGCTCCAGTGATATCGATGTAATTTTCTGACCAGGCCATTCCACCAGCCCATAATGCAGCGCTGAAGAAACGAAAGGCGCAACTCAAGATCCAGAATCCTTGTACGTCATTAAGGACAATGAATATTGCTGCGGCACTCACTGCTAGAATACCATGCATCTCGCCGAAGATCAACAACGGCATCGGGATACATTTTGCCAGTAGAATCATGAGAAAGTGCGCGCCTATGCCAGTCCCAGTAGACGCACTATTAACCAGGGCGGCTTCCTGTTCTGTCATGTTGAGATTTTTTGTTGCAACAGCGGTTTGGAATGACACGAAAACATTGCCTAATTGTTCAACAAAGAAGTAATAAGACGTTAGACAAATCATCATTAATACGCCAAAACTCATGTTACCGCCAGCACAGGACGCAGGTGACAAGAATTTCTTCAGTTGTCGACTTTTGGCTGTGTTTGTGTACTTAATCCCAGGGGGACGGGGCCCAATGAAAAATACAAGGTACGCTAGTGAGGCAAGTAATCCAAGGACACCGGTGATCAAATATGGGTAGATAATCTCAGATTCTGTCAAGATAAATCCGGTGCCATTTGTAGGCATTGTATATGTCGTGTTTAATGTTCCAGAATTCGCCGTGGAGTTTATCAACATGGGGACTTCGATACGTCCAGATAGGAATGGGTAGGCGATCGTCGGAGCCAAAAAAGCACCAGTCCTCCAACCGAAGTGCATCGAATGCATTGGTGAAGGGGTATGTTTTCCCCATAAGGCAATCATCATTGCATTCCCAACTAAAAATAAATGAAACATTGAATAAATGTAATACTTATCACAAAATATATTGGCACACCAAGAGGGGTAGGGCAGGCAATTAATGGGGTAACAATGCTCTGGCCGTCAAATCAAAGTATATCGAATGCATTGGTGAAGGGGTATGTTTTCCCCACAAGGCGATCATCATTGCATTTCCAACTGAAAATGAATAAAACATACATGTTTTATCACAACATATATATTCACACACCAAGAGATAGGACAGGCAATCAGTGGGGCAAATCTCTGGCTGTCCAACCGAATGCATTGGTGAAGGGGTATGTTTTCCCCACAAGGCGATCATCATTGCATTCCCAACTGAAAATGAATAAAACATACACTCCACTCCATAAGTTTGGCAACCTTAGCTCCCCCATTGAACTACGTGTTAGAGCCCCTTTACGTTTGAATTTTTATTTACTTACCCTGCAATGAAATTACTTATAATATTGATGAAAACGTAACTTGACTATATTTCCAATACCTCCAAATTTTCCCAATTTTTTCGTCAATAGGTCGAAAATTGATGATACATTTGATGTGTTATTTCAATGGGAGAGGTTTTTTGAAAAACAATTTTGACTTTAAAGAGTTATGACTTTGTTGAACCTGAAGAAACGTATCAATTTTTGTTAAATAAAGTTTGAAAATGCAATTGCCTACCTAACTTTTATTTTTTGTACGGCTCGAATGGATGGATATTCTGTCAAATGGCTTGCGGCAAACCTACCATTTCCCTTTGGTTAACATGTGAATGTCGATTTTCCAAAATTTATCAAATTTTTCATCAATTTTCGACTTATTGTAAGTGAGGAAAAAATTTGAGAAAATTTTGAGGTATTGTAAATAAAGTCAAGTTACGTTTACATTAATATTATAAGTAAATAACTAAGTAAATAAAAATTCAAACGTGAAGAGGCTTTAACACGTAGTTCAATGGGGGAGCTAAGGTTGCCAAACTTATGGAGGGGAGTGCACATGTTATATCACAACATATGCTCGACGTTCCCACGCCAATTGCAAGGATGTAGGGCAGGCAATCAATGGAATGACAATACTTTGGCCGTCCAATCAAAGTTTGAATGCATTAGTGAAGGGGTATGTTTTCCTCACAAGGCAACCTTCATTGCATTTCCAGCTAAAATAAAAATATAGTGGACATCTTTCGACATAATATATCTTATATTCATATCTAGCCATATCGCTATATTGCAATATCCGCCTTGAAAAGTAAAAAAAACTATGGTTTCAATTTCTTATGATGAAAATAATCTGATAAAAACGATGCTTTCAACCGTTGACAATCTAATTTGTGAAACTTTATCTTCAATATCATGTTAAAGTAAAGACTATAGTTTGAATCTCAAATTCTCTCATGTTAAAGTAAAGACTATAGTTTGAATCTCAAATTCTCTCATGTTTAAGTAAAGACTATAGGTTAAATCTCAAATTCCCTCATGTAAAAGTAAAGACTATAGTTTAAATCTCAAATTCTCTCATGTAAAAATAAAGACTATAGTTTGAATCTCAATCTCATGTTAAAAAAGACTGTATAGTAGTTTGAATCTCCAATTCTTAAATGTAAAAGTAAAGACTGTAGTTTGAATGTCAAATCATCTCTTTTCTGAAAATATCAAATACAATACATCTTTTGAAAATCGTTACCTAATCCGTACAGCCCGTGTGCCACACCTTCCACCCAGTAGGACAGGCCGAGTAACACCAAACCATTGCACCATGGTTTAATCCCAACAGCTAGTGCTTCTAAGAAGAATCCGACTGCAAGCTGCAAGTCCCAAGTGCTCTGGAATTTATCATATGTGATGCCAGCAATGAAGGATCCCATAGCCCAGCCTACATCACGTCCTATCAATGCCCTTGAGAGCTCCTCGTAGTTCACTCCTAGACGGGCACGCAGGTCAGGCATTGTGGGATAGCGGATCGACAGCAGCATCCCCTGTGTGAATGAAACTAAATTATTATCTTGTTTTCCAGGCCTATAGCCTGCATGATTTTGAAAGAATTTTTGATTTAGGGACGGTTGATTCGTTTCCGCCTCCTTACCCAACCCCCCCCCCCCCCTCCCCGGACTACGAGCCTGTTGTCAAGGGGATACGTCAGAATTGACGGAGTACAAAACTCAACTAAAATAAATTTGATAATTGATTAGATGATATGGGAAATAAGTCCCCCTCGAAGTCTACTGTAGAATCCCTTCCACTGTTCAGTCCTAAGGTCTACCGTAGAGCCAGTAGTTCTACTGTAGTCTTAAGTTCTACAGTAGACTCCTGAGGTCTACAGTAGACTGTCCCTAGTTCTACTGTAGAATCCCTAGTTCTACTGTAGAGCCAGAATCAAAGGTCTACTGTAGACTCCCGAGGTCCACTGTAGAGTCCCTCCATGGCTCTATTGTAGAGTCTTGAGTTCTACCGTAGACTCCTGAGGTTTACTACAGCGTCGTATGATCTATCGTAGACTTCCGAGGTCTACTTTAGAGTTCCTAGTTCTACTCTAGTGCCCAAAGGTCTACTCTCTCGAGGTCCACTAGGCCAATAGAGTCACTAGTTCTACTATACTTTTGAATCCTTGAGTCTATAGTAGAGTGCCCAGGTTTAATGTAGCTCTACGTTATAAAATGCACGGGGGTTGTCCGAGAAGTAATGCACTATAGGCTCTAAGTTTATCAATACTTGATATTTGATATCGTATAATGAAAGTTTTGAAGTTTGCAAAAGAAAAACAAAGAGAATCAAATAAACTAGTTCAGTATGTATATTTGGACATGTCACTAAGATTAGATATCTCTATTCCGTTTTCAGGAAATACAATTAGGATTGTAAGCAAAACATTGACGTGTTTTTGAAGAAAAAATTGCCTCAACATTTTGCACTCCCGTCCCATCTACTTTCTTTAAGCCTCAGTAACATTTGATCTACGGAAACCGTACGACAGCCATAGCATCCCAAAATCGAGAGAAATACACAGCATAAAATAAAGGGATAAGCAGTTCGATGTCGATTTTTTATTTCGATTTTGTGAATCTACGGCCGCTGGACGGCCCCGTAGAGCAAATATGACTGAGGCTTTAAAAATAAAATCTTAAATACACCTTACATTAACGACCCAAGAAATGACGATCAAAAGAGTTTTGGCCATCTTATACTTGAAAAGTCTTGACATTAACATCTTTTCTCTCTTGACTTTGATGATGCCTTCGTTTTCTTTGGAATTCACATCATAGAAATCAGCCTCATCGCCAGTCTTGATGCCATTCACTTTCATATCATCCAGTTCCACATTGATGCCTTCGTTTGTGTGTCCTTTTGATTGACTGGTGTGTCTATTTGATTCATCGGTGTGTCCACATGACTCATTTGTCTGTCTTGTGGATTTACCAGTGTCTGCAACGGATCCATACGTTCTATCATTCATCTTAATTCCATTTTTTAATCTGGCGAAAAGTGAAATTAATTTAGAACCCATCTTAAAGTAGTCAGTTCATACTGGTCCGTTAAAGTGTTACTAATTCTCTCCGATTGTAGTCTTCATTGAACGATATCGACTATAAGAAATTAGATTTCAATCCCGGATTTCATAGAGAGCTCAATATTTCGAACGTACTATTTAATACATAACATTAAAGTGTTTAATATTGAAGTTGTGTATGTTGCTCTAACGCAAACACATTTTTGTTTATGACTTTGGAGAAAAAACGAACGTTAAATTTTATGCGTGTCCTAAAAAGCAAACAATGTATACGATCGGGGTAACTTAAACTAGACTCGAATCGAATATCAATGTTATTAATTTTATACAATGTGACGACTGTATTCAAGTAGAATTTATTGTTAAATCCAGCATCTTTCGTTTTGAGGTTTTTCAAAACCATTATTTGAGATGTGTGTTTAACATAGAAATAAATGTGCAGAAAATGTCTCAATTCACAGATTAAAATTGAAAACGTAAAATGAATTTAGGCTTACATGCACGATCCTTGCGTTAATCTGTTTATTGACCATCGAGGGATATATTGACATCTAGGGCAACCTTGAACTCTGAGCATGGCCTTACCTTACTATCCAACATTTAATGTCTCAGTCACCTTTGCAACTGGTGGCCGTGTTCTCTTAAATGTCTAAGGCCAATCATCGATTTTGCAAAAGGTTCTGAGTTCTGAAGTGTCTGTACTTGTCCGCATACTCGTTTCCCAGTTTGATTTTCAAAAACATCATACCTTGGAAATCCAAGATGACTTACTTGCACCGCGTGAAAGGTGTCCCAATCCAAGAAAATCCTATCTCGGATAATAGCGGATTAATCCGTGATCCAGATATACGCAATAAAATGCTAGATAATTATTACACAAGGCGGGGAAATCTTATCTTGCATAACTCCGCAATGGGAACCCTGATGATTCAAGAAAATGCAAGTTTTGTATTAATCTGGATCACACAATAGTTCTATCGCATTTTCCATTTATTTTTTGTATTGTACAATAAAGGTCTTTGTTACTTTATGGATATTTTCCCATTATGAGATACGTGTTTTTTAAGATTGACATATAACTGCATTATCTAATCCGTTGATGTTAATTCTTGAATATTTCTGCATAGTCAGATGATGAAATGTTATTTTCCGTATAATGTTGGATTAGGGAATGCAATGAAAATGTATTTCGGATAAATGTGGCATTTGTAGATTCAGGAAATTTTGTTTATTGTTTAATTTTGCATCGCTTAATGCAAGAAAGTTGTATTCCCGTATAAAGCTGGATAAGGGAATGCAACGAAAATGCATTTCGGATAAATGTGGGATTAGTAGATCCAGGATATTTTGTTTATTGTTTAATTTTGCATCGCTTAATGCAAGAAAATTGTATTTCCGTGTAAATCTTGATTAGGTAATTCGTCAAAATAACGGTTTTTCATAATTTAGGTGTTGTTAGATCCGGAGTTATCATTTCTTGCATATTTCTGCATCTCTAGATAAGGGAATATTATTTTCCTTATAAATATGAATTAAGTAATGCATTAATTTATTGATTCCGGATAAATATAACATTGCATGATGCGGAGATATAGTTTTGGATATTTTTTCCTCATTGGTTGATGTACAAAAATATAAATCTTGCATATATATGGGTTAGTTAATTCCTCCAAATAACTGTTTTGTATAATGTATGTATTGTAAGATCCTAGATTATATTTACTTGCATATTTTCACATCTCTTGATATGGGAATATTATATCCTCTATAGATATGGATCTTGAAAAGCATAAGGTATTTTCACGTATTTTTCATCATTGTCCAATGCACAAAAAATAATTCCCACTCACATTCGGTTCTGTTCAATCAGTGCATTCTTAGATCCAGATCTCTTGATTTGGGGATATCATTTCATTATTTCTGTATTTTCATTATTATGTATATTGCAATGCATTGCAAAAATCAATTCTGGGTAAATATACTATTGTCAGATCCATAGGTTTATTTTCATGTAGTATATACCCTCATTGCTAGCTACATAGAAACAAAAATGGCAAGACAGATGTTTGTATGTCCATTATTTTATTGTAAAAATGAGCAATAAAGCCCATAAAATCATAAACTACAATACACTTTACAAAGTCCTGATGGCTGAGAACTATAAAAATGGCTAATAAATAATTAAAAATGCAAAAATATTATTTAAAACAATATGGTGAGGCAGATACCAGAACATCTAAGTTGCATTAGGATAATAATATCTGGTGATAGAAAAATATATGTCCTAAGTAGTTCAATGCATCGTTTTCAAAACATCCATATAATTAAACATATATGCATATAAACTACCATATTAAATACTTCTGAGAATCAAAACTGCATTAAAAATGAAATAACATATTAATTTGTAAGTTCCGTATATCAATCAGAAATCACCTATCACAATTCATGAAGAATATTGGCATCAAAAAGAATGCATATCACTGTGCCACAATTGAAAAAATTCAAGTTCAAATACTAAATGAATAATTTATACAAAAAGTTTGAAACATATCCTCCAAAACATTGCTTACTTTCTTTGTAGCATTACACTGATAAAATCCCAGCCTTGTACATAATTTTAGAACAAATACAGTAGAGGAACAACTCTTAAAAACATTGTACAACTAGAAAACAGCAACGCCACAGAGTGGCAAATCCAACCAAACAAAACATGTTTTTACAAATAATGCCCATCTAACAGGTAAAATATGAACCATATTAGTCCACTGGTATTTGAGTTATTAAAATTGTGTTTTTATGAAAAATGGTGGCCATTTTAAACTCAAGCTTGAAATAGTTTCTTATTGAGCAGAGCTCCTTTGTCCCTAGGCATCAGCATATAAAATATAGTTTGAAGACAATAAAATCAAACTAAGGAATGCATATGTTTTCATTATAACTGTTACCTAGAATTGAAAACTGTGACAGTCCATACTTTGTATTGGAGATTAATCCACCATTCAGACATTTTGTACAAGCACAAATTGCTAAAATATAAAACAGCATAAAAATTACCCCTATTTTCAGAATGGTCACTCACAAGCTAAGTTTACATGAGAAAGTGTTATGATTCAGAGTAGGCAAATATAAAAGGATGAGTCTGGATATCGACTTAGAAAATATTGAAAATTGTATTGTCTGAAAAACCAACTCAATCACACATATTATGAAACCTCAATATCTTATCCTTCTTCTAAGAGTACAAAAATATCAATTTGTATCACAATTCATGAAGAATATTGGCATCAAAAAGAATGCATATCACTGTGCCACAATTGAAAAAATTCAAGTTCAAATACTAAATGAATAATTTATACAAAAAGTTTGAAACATATCCTCCAAAACATTGCTTACTTTCTTTGTATAGACATTGAACATATGGCATTTCTTGATTAGTGAATTGGTGTTTATCTGGGTAATCAAGGGATAATAGTCACTCAAAGTTACTGAGCATCCAGTTTTGACACTTCCATTGTGTTGGTAAAATTACACATATTTCAGTCAAATTCATGCTGAGCACAGCATTTTGGTTTCAATTTTATAATCTCTATACATGACCCTGGTGATAAAGAGTCAGAATCAATCAAAAAACTAAACCGGAAAACTGTGCTCATTGTGAAAATTAAAAGTGAAGCTACTTTTTTTTCTGATATTTCTTACATCAAATCGCAGCCATCTTGTTTTTCCCCTTTCAAATTAAACTGGTAGAAAATTCAAAAATTTAAATCCTAAAATATTTTTAAAAAAATAAAGTTATTTCTTCTTTATATGTCATATGTGTTGCCATTGGTATTTTTTCTATGATAACGATTATTTGTTTTCTGTTAGGATACTTATTTTGACTCTCAGCAGGGGGTTGATTATGCATCAAAACTCATGAAAAAGTATACTTATCAAATATAACTAGGACAGTTATAAAAATCATATTTCATGTACATTTGACTGAGGGACCAAAAGGGCATATATCCAGACTCATCCTTTCAACAAATAGTTAGATGCGAGTAGAAAAGTCACTTATTTTACTTATCCAGAGCTCAGTAAGGTCTTTTGTGATTAAGCTGACCAAAATTTACATCCAAAAATCAATTTGAAAAATCAACTTTTAAACCTTTCAAAGGTCACTGAAGGTCAAATCCTAAAACTAATGTCAGATTTGAAATCCTGCCAACTCGTAGATGATTTCAAAAAAATTTGGTCAAATTGAAGCAAGTTGAAAAATAACTTATTTTTACTTTTTTGACGTCAAATATTTCAAAAACTGTAAAAATTTGATGCTGACATATATTGAGCAATATGTAGGGAATGCTTAAATCTAGTAATTATGTAATTCATTGCAAGATATGATCAAGTATAAGGCAAACTTTGAGAAACTTGTCAATCACAAAACCTGCCATTGACTTTATACATGAGGAAGTTTCCTGAAAATGAAGTCCTACTTTTTGTCAAATTTTATAGAGTAAACACCAAAAACTGTTATTCCAAGAGCTTTGAAATCTTCAGAGGACATAAGTTGCATATGCAGCAACTACTATGAGTTATTTGAAAGTTCTATTTCAACAAGATGTTTACTGAAAACTTGACTTTTTGATGTCAAAATCAGCAATTTCTCGGAAACCAGGTGAACTTGGGAAATGGCGATGATAGGTCAAATAAGCATAATGGATATGCATATATAATGAATGTGGATATGACTCATTCCGAAAAGCAGTTTTAATTTGTGCGGCCAATGTTGACGGACGGACCATCGGACGGACGGATGTCACAGAGGACAGATTTTTCGATACCAGCCTGTGACAAAACTTACTGTTTATGTGTTGCTGGGCAGCGTAAAATGTCAAACATATCAAAAAGTTCAAATCTAACAGAAATATGCCAAATTGGCTAAAGAAAACTTCAGAACATGT